CCTGCTCAGGACCACTCTGATGGTCCTGAGGGCTGCCTAATTAAGGATCTATTTACCCTTTCTGCTCTTTGTATAACACTGTAACTAAAGGGGTTAAGACCATATAGGCAATATACAAAAGAACAGCATATGCAGCAGTTAAGCGTGATGTATCATGTTCCCCATCCCTTTTTTCATGCATAGAGAGGATGGCAGATGAACAGGATTTAATCCATACTTATTGACAGGAGAAAAGCTCTCACATCACTTCTGAAATCTCACAGCCTTCTTCAGGTTCTCTTTGAAGATGACATTTTCACTTGATGATGTCAAGTATAGCTTTAAGTTTGCTTCACATAAGACCACAGTCTATTATCTTCATGTGAAAGATGTACAGCAATACCATGGTGCAATTTAGCAGCAGTTTAGCATCCAGCTGTTGAAGTTCTTCATACTAACTTATTCTAACACAGACATTTCTGGGCACACAAGATKCTTATATCAAATGGCTCTTTTAAACCTTACTATTTTTCAGTCCAAAATATGTGTACCATTAACACATTTCTGCAATGAATGCCAAAATGTCAGTGTGTCCTGTGCGATTTGTTTAGTGACAGATAAGAAGAGCAGGGAGCCCTTGATGTCATTCAATATTATGACTGATTTTCTCATGTTGGCAGCCAGTGCTGACACTGTGCTGTTCTTTTGGAGGTGTTGTTTTGATGGATGCTACCAAGTGACACCAGGGAAAGAAAGGGAGGTGGAGGGAGAGAGAAAAGAATAATAGAAGCACTGAAATAAGTGGTATCTAAATCCTAACAGAAGCCAGCTCCTTGGGAGGATTTTGGCAAGAGGCCTTTTGAAGATTCTTTTGATTTGCTTTTTTTTTTCTCCTCCTTTCATATGCTTTCCAATTAGTTTGAAATGTAGTTAACAGGTAGTCACACTTAAGAAAATAGCTCACTGCTGATAAGGGTATTACAGAGCTAAAATAAGAATAGTGAAGAATGAAGAAAATCACACCCTATCTCTGCTGTGAAGCCTAAACAACAGTGCTGAAGCATCCTATTGCTCTAAGGGATTTTTTTTTTTTTTTTTTTTTTGTAACACATATTCACATATTCTCTGGCTTTGCCACAGCAGTCCATGTACCAGTCTGAAGGTATAAAATGCAAGAGGAACAAGTTCAAAAAGTCTAATGCAACCATGTCATTTATGACCTTTCCACCTCCACCTTTCTCTGCAGGGAGATAAAGGCAGTATTTCAGGAAACATCATATAGTAGCTACTACAGGACAATTTTATAATTTGGCAGTAAGTTGTGCTTCCTGTTTCTCCTCTCCTTAATCATTCTCACAGCACCACTTTTGCTGTTTGGGCTAACAGCTAAAACATGCCAGATAATAATTTTCCAAGAATGCTCATTTAAAACACACACATTTCTCCAGCTTTTCTTACTGGCTTTGTGCTAAATGCTACTTCAGTGTTTATGTTATGTGTTAAATACACTTCTGAATAGAGCTGAGGGAATTGTTTGCCTGAAGCTTTTTATTTGCAGGTGAAAAATGCAAATTCATGCCCATAAAAAGTTTGAGCTCATGTCAAGTTTGTTGAGTCCTTTGAGACAGAAAAAACAAAAAACAAACAAAAAAAAAAAAAAAAGGAAAAAAAAGCATGGAAAATGCATACACAATTCCCCCCCTTTCTCTTCTACACTGGCTTCACTCAAATTTCAGCAGTTTGCTGACTGTGCTAACTGCAGTATAAATAGGCCTGGCAGACTCTCATCCCTTTGGCAAGCTCTGACCTAAGTTTAGATTCACCTAAGCTGGAGGAACTAAGAACACCGCCCTGATCTCAGTTCCAATGCAAGCACACTGGCCATATTTTAACTGTCTGCTTGAATGAGACTGGATGCTTTAGCCAGAGGGAAAAAAAAAAAAAAAAAAAAAAAAAAAAAGAAAAAAAAAAAA